ATGAACTATCGCATAGGAAGCAAAATGGATTTGAAACTTGATAATGGTAGTTTGCACTTTGCGGATGTGCTTTCAACTTTTTACTTGAATTTATTGACTTTATAGTAACAAGGGAGGATGCACTTTCAATAGCTCGTTTATCTAATTTATTTTAAAGTACTCCTAGTTACATTCATATACCACTCGTATTATGGACATTAAGGACTTGGATACGTGAGGCACTGTCTAAGTGCACGAATGGCTTATTCTTTCACGTCGCTTTTAAAATAATCCACTCTAGGTGTCTTTTACGCCAACAATTTTGTATGAGCGAGTTAATGTGTGACTTCTATAGTGTTAAATAAGGGCTTGCATTAACAACACATCTCGCGTAGTTTTCCAGCCCCCCAACAAAGCAAAGCGGCGTGAAAGGTTTCCGCATATTTCCCCCGTGAAAATCCGCCGCCCTCGAACAATAACACTTGCCCTCAAATTATAATCAGCAGAAAATTTTGCTGTACGAAATAAACAAATAAGTACTAGCGCAAAACCTTATCGAAGCAAATTTGTTCGCAAAAGGCCACCACTTTCCAAATGTGGTGTACCTACAAACTAGAGAAGAAACATTGCAAAGGTTTAGGCAATTTTGCAAATTTGCAGAAAAATTTGGAAATGGAAACTTAATTTTCAAACTCAACATTTTTGTGCTGTAGCCATGCCTTTAGTTGTGCTTTAGTCCAGGAAAAATTTGGCAAGTAAGTTACTGTGATATGTAGCATTTTCCACAATAATCAGCGATTGTTCTTGTAAATTTAGTAGCAAACCAGTTAAGAAAACTGTCCTCGTTCATTTCCCCAGGGTAATTCAAGTAAGAGAAATTAGAGAGGTTGAGGAAATTGCAATAAAGTAAGATGGGGATATTGGAAACTAATGGTAGAAGATGAAGAATACAGATGGAGTACCAAAGAAAACGGATTAGTAATAATAGAGAGGAAATGCATGGGAGAGGAAAGGGCGGAGTTTGGAGAATGAAACTAACTGCAAATGACAAAATAGTGAGGAAGGGGAGGAAGACAAACAACAGAAGAAAACAGGAAAACTAAATAAAATTGGAAAACAGCAACATAGAAATTATATTTGTATGGGTAATTACAGGGGAATCCCTATAATGATTAAATGAAGTAAAGACTCGAAAGAGAAATGGAAGAGGAAAGGATGTTGGAAGAAACACACATGGGCTTCAGGAAAGGGATGGAAACCATTGAGTGCATTAATATATTAAACAGACTGGTGGAAAATGAATTGGAAAAAAGAGACGAAAGGTGGAATCATGGACTTAAACGTAGCGTTTGACAAAAAGGAAAAGAAACAAGTTTGGATGATGAGAAAATAACAAGAGGTCAAAGGACAGAATCAGGAACTATATAGAGAGGCAAGATTGAGGATAAGACTAGAGGGGAAAGAGTCTAAAGAGACATCTTGTAAAGGACTAAGACATGGATGCACCCTTATCCCAACCTTATTTAATCGCTACTTAAGAGGCAAGAATAAGGTGGAGGGACAGTAGTGGGAAGAAGTTATGGTGTACGCGGACAACGCAGTGATCATGGCATTAGAGGTAGAACAAATGAAGAAGGAACAAATAATATTGAAACAATATGAGATTCGGATGTGGAAATGAAGAAAGAGAGAAAGAGAAATGGAGACAAGAATCAGAAAGAAAATGTAATATATGTGGGAAGGAAGAATATATCCACATGTTATAGAACTGTATGGGGGTGGAAATGATAGGGAGAAGTAGGAGTGAGGTACTGAATTAGGGAAGAGTAGTGGATGACGTGAATTTTACGGAAAATATTTTGGTATAAGCGAATAAGTTCCTTTTTGGGTATCAAAAATGTGCTAAAAATATTGTTACCGAATCGCAAAGTTTGCAGTAGTGGCAGTTAGACTAAGACTGTAAATGAGGTATAAATAAAATTTGTAACGGTTAAGTAAAATATAAAAGTCGATACCTATCAAATAATTTGAAACAACGATTCTGTATATATAGTCCAGTCAAATTAGCGCAATTTTGGACAAATAAAAACATTAATCGGTAAAGATCTGAATTTTGGTATAAACATTTATTGGGACTTTCTATTGAACATACTAAAAGTCCCTGTCAAAATCTGTTGCGCTCGAGACGCCACCTTGGAAAAACCGTACACATTTCCAGTTTTTTGCCCATGTCTCGGCAACTATTAGTGATACGTAGAAATAGTTTACATGAGAAATATAGTTTACTAAATTCCCTATAAAAAAGAGTATTTACATTTTTTTTGTATCTCCAATACTTTAGCTGTAATCTCACGTTGAATGCGTCAGAACGCGTTTAGGCCCCGTATCGTAGTTATAGGAAGGAGACCGTCTTTTTTATGTCTACACCGAAAGCTGTAAAAGCACCAAAAAATGAACAGAATCGTCTTGCGATAAAGCATTCTAGCAATGACATAATGTTTCATGATACGATCTGAGACAATTTTTTTTTCGGGGCTCAAAAAAAGGCAGTGTATAACCTTCCTTTTTTACCAAAAATCGACTACACCAAAATTTCTCGGAAAAACACTTTTTCTTTTTAATTTTGGTGCGTAGAATCCAAATCAATTCGTACTTTTTCGATCAGACTTCTCAATCAAAAGTTATAGACTAGAAACCAATTTCGAAAAAAATTTCAAAGGGCTGTAACTTTTGAACTAGTAGCCCAATCTTGGAACTGTTTGAAATTATGGATTCTACAGGCCACATTCTATAAGAAAATTTTTTTCCGGGTCGATCTGAGACAATTTTTCTCTCGGGGCTCAAAAAAAGGCAGTGTATAACCTTCCTTTTTTACCAAAAATCGACTGCACCAAAATTTCTCGGGAAAACACTTTTTCTTATTAATTTTGGTGAGTAGAATCCAAAACAATTCGTACTTTTTCGATCAGACTTCTCAATCAAAAGTTATAGACTAGAAACCAATTCCGAAAGAAAATTCAAAGGGCTGTAACTTTTGAACTAGTAGCCCAATCTTCGAACTGTTTGAAATTATGGATTCTACAGGGTACATTCTATAAGAAAATTTTTTTCCCGATCGATCTGAGACAATTTTTTTTTCGGGGCTCAAAAAAAGGCAGTGTACAACCTTCCTTTTTTACTAAAAATTGACTACACCAAAATTTCTCGCGAAAACACTTTTTCTTATTAATTTTGGGGCGTAGAATCCAAAACAATTCGTACTTTTTCGATTAGACTTCTCAATAAAAAGTTATAGACTAGAAACCAATTTCGAAAGAAAATTCAAAGGGCTGTAACTTTTGAACTAGTAGCCCAATCATCGAACTGTTTGAAATTATGGATTCTACAGGGTACATTCTATAAGAAAAATTTTTTTTCGGTCGATCTGAGACAATTTTTTTTTCGAGGCTCAAATAAAGGCAGTGTATAACTATCCTTTTTTTACCAAAAATCGACTACACCAAAATTTCTCGGGAAAACACTTTTTCTTATTAATTTTGGTGCGTAGAATCCAAAACAATTCGTACTTTTTCGATCAGACTTCTCAATCAAAAGTTATAGACTAGAAACCAATTTCGAAAGAAAATTCAAAGGGCTGTAACTTTTGAACTAGTAGCCCAATCTTCGAACTGTTTGAAATTATGGATTCTACAGGGTACATTCTATAAGAAAATTTTTTTCCCGATCGATCTGAGACAATTTTTTTTTCGGGGCTCAAAAAAAGGCAGTGTACAACCTTCCTTTTTTACTAAAAATTGACTACACCAAAATTTCTCGCGAAAACACTTTTTCTTATTAATTTTGGGGCGTAGAATCCAAAACAATTCGTACTTTTTCGATTAGACTTCTCAATAAAAAGTTAATATAATAATAATATTACGCAACGTCAACTAGGATAAACAGGATAAATATGCAAAACTAACACTTTGGAAAGTGTTATACAATACCACCTTCAGATGAGTTGGAGTTAGGTGTGGAATACAGTAAATTGTGCACATTCAGTATCATTTTTTTGACCGTTTAATTAATTACCTTTTGGAATATAAATAATGCACTTGAAGCATTTCAACAGTTGATGGAGTGGTTTTGCCAATAATGTAATTATTAATTGATTGCAGCACGAAATGAAAAACAATAGAGGCTGTAAATTTAACAAAAACATACAAATTGCAGTTATTCGAATTAAATAAACTAAAAGTTGTGGGAAATAGTTTAGTAAAAAATGGCGGTGTAAAACCAGAAACAGAATCTTGAGTTTGCTTGCTAAATTATTTAAGAAAGTCAAGCTTAGCCTTTATCTGAATTATTAAGAAAAATCTACATTATTAACCATAGCCTATATTCGTGAAATGTTGCTCCAAATATTATCTAGATACCGTAGATATCTCTAACGGGGCCTATATTAGATTCATTCAAATACATTATTGAAGCTCAGAATGAGTTACTCAAGAAGCACAACCAATATATTATGCATTAAGGGCATTGATCGTCAGAAAAATCATATAGAGAAGGAAAAATTTCATACCAAATCACACAGTATTTTCAATTGATAGGCTTTTGAATATTGCAGATTCAAAAAGGTTAGAATTAGAATAAGCACAGGACATGATGGTTTGCAGCCACTTATAAAAAATATGGATACATATTTGTAAATAAATGCCACGGCCATGAATCTCATTTAGGAACAATGAGCGTAGTGGTCCAAAAATCAAATTGTTTATCTGAAAAGGAGGTTAGCATTGCAAAATGCGTACGATAACGTTAAGCTTAGTACCGTATTGAGCAAAATAATGGGTTTGTCGACATTGAACAATATTTCCCAATTCTTGTCAACATACACACGTTAAACACGCAGAGCGCACTGTTTGACTTGTGCCTGAATTTAAAAATTCAATTAACATCGCAAACACCACCCCATTTATCAATATTAAAATTAATAATGGACTTACTTTATATTTACCCTAAACGTTTTTTTTTTGCAGGAAGAGACTATCTTTGAAAGGAAAACAATGCTCCCTTTCATCAATCAATCCTTTTATAAACTGAAGCTAAATGAACGACCGAAATGACGTCCTGAAAGACGAATGTGTGCGTGCGGGTGCGTGTCCGTTTGTCTCTAGTGCGTGAAAAGCTCTGAGAACTTAAGCTGCCATGAAGACGGGAGCGTGATAATGACAACGGTCGGAATGGGCACTATCGGACCATCAACGTACGCCGTGTTTTTGCTATTTGTCGTCCTCTCGCTTTCCACCACAACATCCAGTTTAGAATTGGGTAAGTCGTTTGCGATCAATTTCAAATATAAAACCAGAATGGCTCGAATCGACGTCTTTTATTCAGACCCATAGTGTCGTATCATCTAATTTGATAGCTTAACCTCCTACTAAGATTACGTAACTGAATTTCAGAACTTGACAAATATTGCCGAAATGCAACGTTTTACGAGTAGGTACATAACCTCGTACCTAACTTTGTCGCTGCTACAAGCTTAATCATGAGAAATCCTGTTAGCGATTTGTTAAACAATCTTAGCACATGCAACTAAAACTAGTGCATGTTGCGGTAATAGTTGGACTTTCGAGTCAGTCTATGTTTGAAAATTAATGCTTCTATAACTCGACTCGGTGTAGTCACCATAACGTTGTGGTCCTTCTATGCTAAATTATACGGTTATTGCCATTCAAAACTGAATGGTTTGTAACTTTTTAGGTCCCGTGCGACCCTTTTGCTTTAGTTGGAAACATTTTTTTATTTAAGAATTCGTGTGGCTCTAAGTAATCGTAAATGATCAAAATGTGTCACTGACAGTGGATATGAAATTCCGCTTCATAGGTACCTATCATCAAATCAATAATATTAAAAGTTCAGAATATTTCAACTTAAAGTAGTTAGAGCGCCTAGGTAAAAGTAACAAGAAGTTGGTGAAAATTTGGTCACTTTTTCTCTGAGAGACGCACTTTCTAATGGTCAAAAGAAAAAAGTGTTCCTATGTGCCGTTTCTGAGATATTTGACAGTAAAAACAGGGTATTTTAACATGGGCTCTTATGGACAGACTCAGTTTTTCTGAGCTAGCGAAGGTTTTTGTATCAAGACTTAAATGAGATGGGTCTCATTAGAAGCGAAATTTTGTGACGAATCTAAATATGCACGGAAAAGTACATGTTCATGATGAAATAAGGAAGATATTTACCGCCGGAGCGGCATCTGCTCTGACGCGGCGGCACGCAATGCAGCACGCGTTTAAATCTGATGACTTTCCCACTAGGTCTAGTCTATAACTGAGCTAGGACCATCTTTTCCTTCTTCTGCTGAGCACTTTTCTTCACAAAAGGCATGGTGTCTTTCAGAAAGAACATCAAAACCAGCGATATTTATAAAGGTCTGCACACGTTTTGTTGACACACTGATCGGATCGAGATCAAGATAGCGGCTGGGGATCTCTGGCGCCAACATCGAAAAACCAAATCCACTACACCGACTTCACGTAAAACGCCAAATTATTTAGTTTCCCGGCTTTTACATACGTCTCGCATACGTTTTGATGAAAAATAAATATATTCGTTTAGGATTTACCGCTTACACTGTGAATATTTAGTCGCGGTGTGTCGTCAACATTTAGTGTGCAAAGGTTTGAAACAGGGTCGAAAAGTAGGGAGACTAGTCAAGTTGACTACTGTATATACCTTTTTAAAAATCATGTAAGACGTTTGCATTGTGCTGAGGTACAAAATACCACTCATACCGTATTTCTAATTATGTTTCCTTCATAACATCATTTTTTTGGGGACGTTTACCGTAAGTAATAGGTAGGCCGAGTACATCACTTGACTTCAGCCGAACGCGCTCTAACTACTTTAATAACAATGAATTCAGAAGAATCATAAAACATTTAAAAGCTTCTAACAAATGTACAGGAAAATTCAGTAACTTTGAACAAAAAGAGTGTTGTAGAAATTCCTGTAAAAATCAAAATTATGAAAAATTCACAACATTCACAGAATTATAAAATATTCGATATTTGGATTTGTTATTGCCATACAGTTAGTTTTGGATGTTCTTTTACATTACGTGTTGGATGGCGGAAATTAAAAGAAATTGTATAAAAATGCACATAAGATACCTTGATGATTATATGAAGAATACCAGAAGATCATCTAAATGCTGCGAAGACTTTGTGCAGATTTTACAAGATTCTCAAAAACAATTTTAAGAAGCCCTAAAGAATATCAAAAGATTCTCACTTAAAGATGCTTTAAAAATTTTTGACGACTATCTGGGAAGTTCTCTCAGGATACTGCACAAATTCTTTATAGAATTATATTTTCTAAAGACACACCTATAATGTTCTGGAGGTTCCTCTTTGGAGAACTTAAAATTTCAAATTATTGACAATATGGCAATGCTGAAGAATATTTTCAAGATAATTGTTAAAACGATTCTAAGAGAGGGTTTTAAAAATGCTTTTCTTAACAGATTTCAAGATTTTTCCAAAGTGATTCTCAATAATGACTGTGGATATTTCACAATAATTTTGAAAATGACGGTTAAAATAATTCTCTAATGTAATTTTCGAGATTCAGGTAGGTATTCAAGTCAATTATTTAAAAAGTTTTTAAAATACTAGACAAATATTCTAAAATTTGTTGTAAATACTCTACTAGTTCTCTGAAAATAATCGCATGATTCTCTTCAAATTCCCTGGAAAATAATCGCGCGAGTATCTATGAGCGTGAGATCTACCCTGAAATATAGCAATATTTATTAAGAGGAAAGTATTGCAGTAGAAATATTCAAAAAACAAAAAATACACATGGAAGGATCTAGGGGGAGGAGATCTATTCCGCACGACGAAAATAATTTCTTAAAGGGGAAAATAACTAACCAATATTTAATTCAAATCACAAAAATATTTGTTTTAATTTCTGTCGTAGCAAAATCGATTTTGAGAAACAATGTAAATCGTCAAACTTGAAACTTGAAAGTTACATGAAAGTTTGTAGAAGGTTTGTCGCTAAGCAATGCCTGCTGTTGATAAACTGTACCTGAATTTCCAACCCCTTTTTGAGGCTATTTAACTCCAATAAAACGTGATACATGATGTTATGTATACCAATAATTATTAAATCCTTCGTCGTTTTACTGAACTATCACACTAAGCTCTTTCATTAATTCACATTGAACCGAATAGAAGCACAACAGCAAATATTGGCAATGTATTAGATGGATACGCCCACTTAACGTGATTAAATCAACTTCCTCATTAAATTTCGTTTTGTACCTTTGCGCGCTGTATAGAATACGGGCTAATTTTAGTCGATACCCTTAGAAATATACCACCCTACAAAGCAACAGACGTGATTTAATTAAGTTCTTTCTTTTTCGTTCAAAGAGATTTGAACAACATTGGTCGGAAAAGACGAAAACATGGGTAAAAGAAATAATTACTTTAGGAAAAGTTCGACACATAACGTGACCGTCAGAATGTGTAATTTAAAGAAGCTCGATCTAATATGTAGTAAACTTTATCAGTTTAATTGGAGATGTAGTGACGCTTTAATATTTTGACGATATTGCAAGAGCTTTTCTCTCAAAATAAGAAATAATTCTGTTATTGAAATTTGAGTAGGTATAGAAGTAATCTGAATATTGACCTTTAATAGCGTGTGTAGGTATCTATAGCGCATATTCCGTAATATTATATTAATAATTGGTATAAAAGAAAAAATCCAATATGGAGGTTTTTGAAAGAGCATATAGACATTAAAACAGTAATACGTACGCGTTTCGACAGAAAAGCTGCCATCATTAGCTAACAATTGAAGAGAAAATAACATAACAATTCCATTTACACCAATTACAACTGGAAGTGAAAGTTTACGATTTCTACGACTAGGTTTCCCTCATCATAGTCATCAGTAGGGGTCTTAATGTGGATTCTTGGTTTCAGTGCAAATGCAAACATAGCCACACGAACTGTAAAAAATCGTAAAAATCAACAATACAATAATAGCAGGTAATTTCTCGTTTGCTTTCGATCCCACAAATGGAGGACTTATATCCGGAACGATAATGAAACATGATAACGAGAAACCGCCTAACCATCTTTGTTGTGGATATGTACATGGGCTTCTCCAAACTTGCATTGTTTGAATTAAAAACATCAAAGTTGAATAAAGCAAAGAAATTTAATGAGACCGTTTTTATACATAGAACTCTTCATTATGACTGTATCAGTTTTAATCTCATTAAGGCTTTTGCGAACATTATATTTACGCATTTACCAATTGCAGAATATAATTACGTAATGAACGACGACCCCTTTACTCGTTTTTCCGCAAGAATTAATAACATAAAGGTATTCACATCAAAACGAAAATGACGTAAGCTTTATCAAAAACATGTATTTAAAAGGGTTGAAATTTTTTTGAAGCGCTTAATTACTGTGGGGGTCAGTGATCTATTAATTATTTCGAAAAGTTTCGATAAAGTAACGTGATGGGGTTTCAAATCATACGGCGAAGACGTCTCGCCAACTTTTACGACGATACGAATTGGGTAGGTATATATTGAAAAGAAATAGCTACCGTTTTCAGAAAAAGAAGTAAAAAATGTATATAGGTTGCTTCGCGTAATTAACCTCCCGGCTTACTTTAACTGAAAATTCCTATATACTTAGCGATTAAAGGATAACGTGTTCATTCACAGGAAAACGTTTTGGTTTTTAACAGCGGTTGATGCAACATTGCGATAGGAGAAATTATGAATTAGAATTTGAGTTTATCCATTCACACACAATGGCTGAATGGAAACGAAATTCCGTTGTTAACTCTGAAAGCTGCACTTCTATACCTTTGCCAATGTAATTAGCTACCTAAAAACACAATCCGACAGTTAAACGAAATTAAAACGAACTTTCTTGTTATTTTTGCTTGCGTAACTAGCGAGAGTACTTATTTTGATTAAAGTTTAGTAATGCAATCTGAAGTCCTTAACTCCTTAATATAAACGAACTGGATTTCATCTTGTCGGCTGCTTAGTTGTCACATCTAACTTTGCAAGGGTAATTAGAGTACAATGAATAATTTAACCCGGTCCTCATAAATACTAATTGCGGGGACCAACCTAACCCGCTCGCTTTCAGTAGCTTTTTGTTTATTTACATGCTTTACTATCGGAGGTCTAAGGTCTATTGGATTTGAATTATTGTTACACTTAAGACTGAAACGGCGACCACGAAAACGTTTAACACTTAAACAGTGTAGTGATAATTCATTGAGCTTGTGTACCTATAACTGCTGAAATTATGCAATGTATGCTCTCCTTGGTTCTTGTTTTACTACCATTAACCAACAACGAACGTAAACTGATGTATTTTATAGCATAGACATTTTGTGCAACTAAACTACAATATTGCAATTTTAAAAATTTGAAAAGATTTTTGAAATATCTACGATATTGTTTGTAGGAGGGAATTAATTGTACCCGGCATCTCCAGTGTAGAAAGGCCGATTTGTTTGCACCCCACGGTGTCTCCCACAAGTAGAGGTTGATCTGCAACAATAAAAGTGAAAATTAATAATTGTATGCAAAAAAACATACAAGCTAAAGAATAATTAGAATTTTAAAGCATCTCCAGAAAAATTAACGTCAATGTTCTTTGAGATCAAAGGCGTCAGGGTGGAGAAGGTTACGGGAAACCACTCCATTAGAGACCTCACGGTATACCTTGAGAAGTGCCAGAGAAAGATGAAAAGAAATATGGATCCTTTGAATATTAAATTTTCGGGAGTTAAAATGGTCCCCAACTGTGGACCGTATACGAAGAGTACATTCAAGAATAACAATGAGGAGGAGGGAAAAGGTAAATTGAAGATAGAAACTTAGAAAAGCTTGGAAATCAACGGTGAGAAATGATTAAAAACAGCCTGGATTTAATTGGAGTAAGTGAAATAAGATGAAAGGGGCAGGGACACGAAAATTGAGATTATGCAAAGTTTTTTACAGTGGTAAAAAAGAGGGAAAAACGGCGTAGGATTTATTGTCAGACGGGCTCTCTAAATCTGAACGCTGTGCCAAAGGAAATGTTAGTGATTCAATTCTCCTATCCTGCAGAGAAACTAAAATAATAGCTACCAACAACCAACACATGGTTTACCAAGAGAAGACTACACTTGGAAATCCGCTGCAAATCATTATTGAAACCAAATAAATTGTAATGTAATGAAATAGGAAAATTTGATAGGACAGGAAGGCACGATTTTATTTACCATAGGAGTAAAAATGGTACGTGGGACGTGTTTATAGCAATGAGGTGGAAGACAGGAATGGAAAAGTACTGAAAGAAGAGAAGAAAATTTAAAGTCAATGGAAAGAGTATTATGATGGTAGATCTCTATAAAACACACGAAAAACCAAGGCAATTGGAACTAGAAACGGAAGAATAAGTCTGTCCTGACCATATAGGAACCAGTATTATGTTTACCGAAGTAGAAAGGGCAATGGAAGATATGAAATCAGATAAAGCTACGGGGATATATGAAGTTCCAGTGGAGAAACTGAAGTGTCCTTAAGAAGAAGGAATGAATATCTCTATGCAATGAAATGATATATAAGAATCTGGCTAAAAAGAAAGAAACAAAGAAGTGTGGTGCATATAGAAGAGTCAGCCTGGTAGGACATACAGGAAACTAAGACACAGCGAAAATATTGTTAAGAGTGTTAAATAGAAGGTAGTTGCGTTAGCGACTAGTCAAGATTACATTTTGGATTATGGAGCCTATGATGGGGTGGTCACAGTTGCATTTGATTTTGTTATTAGTTATTTTTTTTATTTATTTATTTTTTTTTTTTTTATTATAGTTATTAGTTATTAGATTAGTTGGTAGGTGGTTATTGTTTGTATACAGTCGTGTCACCGTATTTCTTTCACAAAAAGTTGATCAGTTTGTAAAATCCTGGAATATTAAGGCTGAAACGAAAATCTCTACATCCCGATTTCTTCAGCTGCAGGATCTGCAACTAACCACACCTTAAAACTTGCGAAATATTTATCAAAATTTAAAATAATGCCTTATTTCTAATGCTCGTTCTAATGTAATTCTTCTGTTTTTTTTTTCACATTAATTTTCATGTATCCACGTCATTTTATAATCTAAATTTGTGTTTGTCCGTAATTGGTTGTTAACTATTGGGTAATCCGCCTGGATTCAAGTACAAATGATTTAAATGGAAGTAGTACTTTGGAGAGTTCACAAATAGATAAAAATGAGATCTTTTTACAGTTTAACCAAACCAATTATACTTTTGGTTTATCTATGTGTCACTCCACCTACTACGAAGGCAATTTTCCAAGATGGAATGAATTTAGCTTTTTGCCCTAGAAAGAAAAGTGTACAAGTAATTCGAATCGTGAAACACAAAATGTATAAGCTATTTAAATTGGTAGCTTGAGCCAATGTCGCGTACTTGTAAAGTTAAAAGCGCCCCGACACCGAAAATCCATAAAACGCGATCCAACTGAAGATTAAAAGCTAATGAAATAGCGAACCATTACACTAGGTAAACACGCTTTTATCTGTTCACAGCTAAAGCGGCAAGAAAATTTGTAATGCATCTACTCTACTCTTTAACAAAATCGCTTGCATTATCAACTACTTGAACTGCTCGGAGCAAATTTAAACATTGTATTTAGTGTAGAGTGGTTTTACGTAGGGGCGGACTGGCCCGGGGGGGGGGGCAGGGGGGCGATTGCCACCTGGCCTGTAGATCATAATGGCCTGTTGGAAATTTATAAGTATGTGCTGTATTTAGTTTCTTGCACTATTAATAAATTGTTAACACGTTTCTCTAATTGGGGTTGATGTTAGGTTGTTAAAAAATTCTGTAGCCCAATCTTGGAACTGTTTGAAATTATGGATTCTACAGGTCACATTCTATAAGAAGAATTTTTTTCCGGGTCGATCTGAGACAATTTTTGTTTCGGGGCTCAAAAAAAAGGCAGTGTATAACCTTCCTTTTTACCAGAAATCGACTACACCAAAATTTCTCGGGAAAACACTTTTTCTTATTAATTTGGGTGCGTAGAATCCAAATCAATTCGTACTTTTTCGATCAGACTTCTCAATCAAAAGTTATAGACTAGAAACCAATTTCGAAAAAAAATTCAAAGGGCTGTAACTTTTGAACTAGTAGCCCATTCTTGGAACTGTTTGAAATTATGGTTTCTACAGGCCACATTCTATAAGAAAATTTTTTTCCGGGTCGATCTGAGACAATTTTTTTTGCGGGGCTCAAAAAAAAGCAGTGTATAACCTTCCTTTTCTACGAAAAATCGACTACACCAAAATTTCTCGGGAAAATACTTTTTCTTATTAATTTGGGTGCGTAAAATCCAAATCAATTCGTACTTTTTCGATCAGGCTTCTCAATCAAAAGTTATAGACTAGAAACCAATTTCGAAAAAAATTCAAAGGGCTGTAACTTTTGAACTAGTAGCTCAATCTTGGAACTGTTTGAAATTATGGATTCTACAGGCCACATTCTATAAGAAAATTTTTTTTCCGGGTCGATCTGAGACAGTGTATTTTTACGTTGGGGGTGCTTTAATTTCGTCGGTTTTAGGTAAACTGTTTCGGCATGATGCATTGCGTGTACCCCTTATATAGTGCTAATTCCAAATATTGAAATAGCCTCCAGTTGATTCATTCAAATTAGTTAGACCTCTGATGCATGGAACGTACTGCGAGAGTTGAAAGTGGCGACACAGTAATTTCGCGTCTCTAACCAGCAGCCGCAGGAAATATTATTTAAAAATCCGCATTTGGTTTTCTGTAGGTATATGTGTGGGTATTAAATTTATGAAGCAGGCCAACCGAGGCTAAGGCGATTAGAAATGTCACGTATAATTATAAAATGAAAGCTTCTCTGATGTACAAATGTTTCAGTTATATAAACGAATGAAAATACTATAAATGCCTGACGATGAAAGATTTGTGGACGAAACGCGTTTTTTTCCGCCGTTTGCTGTTCTAAATTTGTAGATATTGCGTACACTCTCCTTTATATTTACATAGGAAAAAATTAGTCGAGCGTCAAATTTAATTAACGAAACGGTTTTGTTTCAGTAACATGCACGGCGGCCCTTGGGATGGAATCAGGTGCAATCAAAGATTCGGCCGTTACAGCAAGCTCAGCGTACGATGCTGGTAGTGTGGGACCTCAACACGGAAGGTTTGTCATTCAAACAAATAGTCAGTGTCTAATGTCTATATACCTATCCGAGCTCAAACCGAGCTCTGAAAAACTCTGTACGTCATAATGACGCAAGCACTTCGTATTTTTTGACAATACAAAGAAAACTACTCTAAAAGCTTATAATAAAAACGATTACTTGTACCTTGTTAATGTCTCTTTGTGTTTTCAGTATTTAAATGTACAAAAACGTACATCAAACAAAGAAAATCTAATTAAATTTTCCATCCTTCTAGACGTTATGCTCTTGTAATGATTATAATTTCGAGAAAGGCAAATGAAATGTATTCTCTCCTTTTAGATTACGCAACGATAAAAACGGCGGCGCATGGTGTCCTCGTCAGATGGTATCGCGTGACGCCAAAGAATATTTAGAAATTAATTTGGAGGAGCTGCACGTGATTAATGGTGTGCGAACGCAGGGACGTTTCGGGAACGGGCAGGGTCAAGAGTATGCCGAGGAGTACATGGTGGAATACTGGAGGCCGGGGTTCGCGAGCTGGTATAGGTGGAAGAATAGATCGGGAAAGGAGGTATGTTAAGCGGCCTTTCTTGCGTTATCGAATCTTGCACTGAATTCATAAAATTCTGTAGGCAATTATTCATCATGATGTAAATGTTAACGGCACAGTATTATTCCCGTTGTTTTCTGTTTTTAAGTGCGCTTTTGACAGAAAGTAATGATTTTCTGTACACCTTTTAGAGGAAGAATAACAATTTTAATCGCGGAAAGTGCTCTAGATACGAAAAATCTATTAGCACCTCAAAGAAAGTGTGCGCTATTATGTTCCATATTCACATGGAACAGGGTTTACTTCCACTCTACAGAAAATCCAACGACCAGCTGGATCGATTATTATAAATGAAAAGTCTACCTACATAGATTTTTAAGTTAATTTGATATGAGGGACCATTAAGCTTCAAAATATATATGGAAAAAGACTATATATAGACCTACTATTTTCATGATTTGCTTAAAATAAGGCATAGTCCTGACCCAAGACGAATACCTATTCAAAAAATTGGTCCAGAGTGTTCAAGAATCAGACCCAATTTGACAATTTTGAAAAGGTGAAAAAAGTGTTAGTAATCGACTTAGTTCGCTGTTGTTACCCTCCTTTGGTTCTTTTTCATTCGTTTATTTTCCTGCACAATGTTCTCTTCTTATTACTTTCGTCCTTTTCAAGACTATTAGTTCCTTTCGAATATTTACAAGGTGAGTAAAACACTTTTTGCATTGCAAATTCCTTTTTTTTGTTGTAGCGTATAATAGGTGTACACCGACATGCATTTTACTTTAGTAGAGAATAAGATGCTTTTGCAGTTCTATTTCCGTAATGGGACTAAAGATGAAAATGGAGTTTGGATGTAATCGATCGTATCCCGACCATGATGAGATTTACAATAATATACGCCGCAATAAAGGAATAGCACTCGAAACTGGCAAAATGCTTCTATGCTTCTATAAAGGGACCGTAACTCATCCTCGAAAATTTTATACAAAAAAAGTACTACTTCTGTGGACAGCATTTCGGCCTCAAAAACCAAGAAAAGGCGTCTTCTTTCCGCGGGGTCTCGTATTTAATTCGAAATCCCACTTAAATTCCTTAAAACTGTATCAACCAATAAAAACTGCATAGAGATAACCCCAATTAGATATGATCGTAATTATTAACGCAATGATTTTTCTACAGGAAACAGGTATGCAAACGTACTTAGCAAGGGCGGTTTACTGCGGGTATTTTTTAAATATGTTGATTGATATTAAATTTAAACCTTTAGTGGAGATGGCTTTCCACAATCTCCAACTGAAATATTTCTCTAGGATTAACGTGCATTTTATAAATACCATTTGATTCTCACGATAATACTTATAATTTTTTGTGCGAAAGTCAATTTATCTCCATCAAATTTGAACCTATATCCTCGAGTTTTTGATACATTGTTAATGCAACCGTTTTTAATGTTTGCTGATTGGCCTATTTCATATTATCAAAATTATACATACAGTTACCGAACATCTACGCACTTTTGACAAAATTAATAAGATAATTCAAGAACTGTAATGTAAGGATCTTAGAAGTTCTAACAGTTTCAGAATATTTAGGTGTTTCAGAAATAGTCCTGCAAATTTAGTAGATCTCAGAACCTATAAAAGCTTTGGAGACTTTAGAAATTTTAACAAAGGTTAGAAACTATTAGACTTTAAGGATTTTCAACTTCTAGTAACAGAAATTTTAGACCGACATTTAGGGATTCAAACAGCTGATTTTTGTGTTTGTTGAAAATCGCAGTTACGACCGGTTTGTTTAATCGATCGCTTGTGTGTGGTATTTTGCTTATAAGCTCTTTTTTTGAGCTTATTGGTTGATTTTGTCTAATAAACTTGTTTCATCTTTTACGTACTGCAATATAAATTTAAAAACACAGAGAAGGTTGAAAAAGAAGAAGAAATATTGCTCAAACTCCCGAACATAAATCAAAAAGGCGGTCAACAAGCTAGCAAATAACTGTATAGGTAAAGGCGTGTAACCACATAAATGTTGCTTTGTTGCTCTTGCTTTGTTGTTACGTTGACAAATACACAATTAACGGGAATTTTGCCACTTAGCAAACTTCTGACAATGAGGGTTGTTCTACAGATCAGGAAAACGAGTAAGAAAGCATACCTAGGTCAAAGTGGTGCTTTTGTCTAGTGACACTTGAGCGTTTCGTTATAAGCACAATTTTCATTCAAAATTGCACTTTGTATAGGCATTACACACCAAACTTGTAAACTTTTCAAGAGGAAAATCGGCTCGTGAGTACTTTAGCGACATTCTTCATTTCTATTTCGAAGAAATTCCTCTATTGCGAATGTTATAAGAAAGTATCAGGAATAAATTCCCGAAACGTGGGCGTACAATTTTCACTTTCTGAGCAACATTAACGTCTCGCATTAACAATATTGAGAAAATTTATAAGCTAGAAGAATATATTTCCATTTTATCTACGAGTATGAAAATTGCCAGACGTACTTTAGAATATTACCCCATATAATTTAGAATGTCATTACATTTCCGCACTACTGAAAACTTTCAAACTTCTGAATACCTCTTGAAACTTATACTCTTATAAGTTTCGCTTATATAATTCGCGTTTTGGCCAATTCCTGCTATGGGGAAATCGATAGTCGAAAAGGTAAACAAATTAACTTGAATTAATAGCAGCACAAATGCCCAATCAATCGAACTATCGAAATTATTTATTTATAAATTAGACACGAAATGCCAAAATTTACATTTTTGGATAGTATTCATGCCATTTATCTTATTAACTTCATTATCGTCAAGTACTTTACAGTTTTGTATCATCGAAACACCGTAGGTAGTTTGGACACCAACTATTTCAAGGGGTGTTTATCCCTGTGATACGTCAAGGGGCCTTCCGGAAATCCTTTAAACAAGAATAGCAATTTAAACCCTCGCCTAATTCAAATTACGTAGTTTCTAAATAAATTTTTCATACTCGCAGTATCTGTGTATAGCATTATATAACCGTACAGGGGTGACCTTCCCTTTTAATGGCAAAGGGTACACATTTTTGTTTTGTTTCTTAGACTGATTTCAATTTTCTTTTTTTGATTAAGTAACCACCTTCAAGGAGTTCACCTTAACCCAATACACGAAAAATGTAAACCCTCTCGCCGTATTGAAATTATGTTACTTTTTTGGTACATTTGTCTGTAGTTCTGCTTTCTATTTAATCTCGACGACATCTTTTGCACATAGTTTCGCATCAGATCATATAAAATTTGTTTGTTTCTTTGAATAATTTTGTTCAAGAGTCCTCGTCACGAGCTATCGTATACAATCACTGGCTGTTTTGGAATTTCGTAATTTTTAAATAAATTATCCTCTACTTAGCACCTTCCTTAGCATCCCATTTATCATATGGAGATTAACTTTTGCGGTGCCTCAAATTTTTTCCTCTTGATTAAATATTTTCAAGGGGTCCACCCCACCCTCTATAAATAAGAAAAGAAATGTAAACCCTTTACGTATTGAAATTAAGTATGTCATTTTTATATATAAATTGTTCCTTTCTTAGCACCTAGTTTGGCATCCCATTTAAACGCCAAAGGTGCAACTTTTGAGGTACAATAATTCTTTTGTTTCTACAGAAGATTTAAGAACTAATTGCTGAAGCAATCTTTTTACGCGTTAATAGAAGGCTACAAGACATTTTTTATTAACGAGCGAGTGGTTACACCTTCAAATATGAGTATTAATCGAGCGAAACGTTGCTTGACTGCAGCCAAAAAATGAATTATTAGCAATAAACACAAACAAAAGTAAAAAACCTGTGAAGTCGCTACAACATGGGTCCCTGTTCTTTTTCTATGGAACTTGTAAAAATTCTTTTAGTTTCTTATCATCATCTTCTTCAAAATATTTAAATTTAAATCTGTCTTCTGACAATACGAACCTTTAGTTCGTTTATTCATCGAATGTTTTCCATTTCTTGGACATAGTTACTTTACTTCTTTGGATGCTTCCGATTCTTATAGGTTCACATTCTTTATTGATTGATTTAAATTTTTACGGATAGCAACCGCACTTGTAATTTATATCATTGGATTAGACGACAGTCCAATGTAATCGAAATTGTAAGTAATTAAATTGTTGGCATAATCAGAAGCAAAGGAAGCGAAAATTTGCAGTTACTTGCCTGTACCTACGCGCTGTGTTTTTGATTCTTTACTAAATTTAGTTATAGTACACGTACCTATATAACGTGGGCTTAAGGTAAATAAAATCGGAAAATGTAGGTCATGGAGTAAAGATTATTTTTTGCTCTGGAGAATATTTCAACCTTTCATGCAAAACAGAGCTTACCCTAAAGCAACACGAATACATTTCTTATACATCCTTATTGTAATACACCTTTGACGCTTGAAAATCCAATTTAATATTTCAAGAATCATTTCCCGGGAAAACCATTTTTCAGGCACTTTCGCAACCTACGTATATATGCGTATAGGTATATACTATCTGAGCGTATAAATTAATAACATAATTTAGTTATGAGGAAAATCAACTCGGGGTTTATTACGCACCTCGTAAGCCGAACTCAGTTTAATTTATAAAATAATCTTAATTTAATGAGAGGTTATGTGTGCGGCATTGCGTGCGGTTTAATGAATGATGGCAGCCGAATTTCTGCATACCAACGCATAAACTTAAAATATTAGAGTAATTATTCATTTACTACGAGAATGTGGAAATATTTCAGTATTAAGTTATTATAATTACACCCTAAACGTATGACATGCTAACAAAATTCATATATATTTACCAAATTTGCATTATTATTCGCGTAATTTATTGCAAGACTAAGCAAATACCACCCATATTAGATTGGAGATTTGTTCAAATTAAGCAGGACAGCGCGTAAGCTTTCGGAACTGGTAAAAATGTTTACTGCATGTTTTTATGACTGAGATCTTAGACTGGAAACAGTTCGTCGTCTGAAGTAGATAGGGTGAAAGGCCGTCATCGTAATAATAAAATGTATCACAATCAATTAAACTGACAAACCTATCGTAGTTTTATGGCAATTTTCTACATACTTACGCAAGCCTACATTATGCACATTGGAAAACTTAGTCATACTTGTGTCAGTAACCTCATTGATTTCTAAACATTTTACAAGACATCAAATCATCGACTACACAAACTTTATGAATTGCATGCGGTAACAAAACGACAAATGTCCTTATTAAAACTTTCTTAATTTCTTACTTTAAGATACTTCAAATCATTCAAAATGGATACAAATTATTTCCACGAGACTCAAGATCATAGTATAAGTAAGTTTGAGGATTTGGATAAGAGCAAGAAACTTTTTAGCAATACAAGGAAAAGTTTCATCATTTCCTTTCTATAAACGGGTTATTTAGAGAAAGAGGGCAAATCAATAACGATTCTTAAACAAGAACTGCCATTTGTCCGAATCAAATTATCAGTTTAATGAAGTAGTTTGCGACTTGTTTGATTGATTGAAAGAAAGATGTTTTGTACAATGACGAATGTTTGTTTCTCTTACAATCGTCCAATAAAACACTTCCGTAACAATTTCGTAACTCCCGCTGCGCAAAATTTAACCAGCATGTAAACGGTTGATGTTCGTCTCAAAGAGTTCCTAAATTTGCAGAAGGTAAAGCATCTGACCATGTACCAGATGTTCAGATGTAGCAAGTAAGATGGCTCTGTGTGGTGATCCAAGATGAGACAAAGATTGTTGGGGTTTTTCAGTCATAAGCCGTTGTAAATCCCAATTTTTTAGGTGTTTCGAAAGATTAGATGTTGTTTATACATAGAATTAGATGGAGAAGAGTAGCACTGCCAGGGGTATGGGCAAAGCTGGGGAATTATTTCCTTAATATTTTGAAGAAGGATATCTCATTCCACAAAACTGAAAGCATTTTTTTTACGAGTTTGTTCTTGGCAATGCGCGTTCTGACTGCCTGGGCTGCGGCCTCACAACCACTTTTCACCCCAACCTGACAAGGCCTTAGGTAGTCAAAAAGTAAAGTTGTGTCGTAGGAAAAATTTTTTGAGGAGTTGAAGATATAGATATTTGCCTCTTTATAGCATATTAACAGAAATAAACAGAAACAGAAAAAATTCTGGTATTCCTCAAGCTACAAGATACCTGCAGGAACATATCAACATTCTTGTACAGCGAGGAAACGCTGCTAAACGCTAAATCTGAACATCCTTAAGCGAGTGTGCAACAAACACAGCGATTTTCGGGAAATTTTGTAACTGGTTGTTTTAAATATGAAATTAAATGTTTGGAAAATTCCAAAAAAGTGGCGTTTGAAGTTTTGAAAACAAACTTCAGGTCAATTTCTATTGTCGTGATTGTGTGTGGTAATATGTAGAGCTAAATTGTATGTGCTTATAGAACTAGTAAGGAAAGCTTTCATTTTTCCCAAATTACAAGGGGTTTTGCGTTAGTTGAAAAATAACAGTTCTGAAATATGTATTCCTTTATTCTGTTACAGTCTAAGAGATCAGCAAAACAATAAGATTTATCAATAAGTAATTAACTATTAACCGATTAATAGAATCTTTTAACAAAAACTTCTGCTGCTGCTGCTTTCATAGAAAATACAGATCGTATAGAGGGAGGATTTGCATACGTTTTTAAAGTAAGATGCTTGCAGAATGTTAATATTTTGTGCTTTATGCAATTTAGATAAAACATCTCAGTGTATGTAACTTTACGGAGTACTTAACTTTCTCATCGATTTCGACGTGTTTTCCCTGTTTTGCGATGCAGGTTCTTTGGAAGGTGACCGCTGAGCTTTGTAGTTTGCGAAAGACCGAATTTCTAATTTCAATTATTTTGTTACAGTTGCTGCCCGGAAATACAAACACGTTCACCGTAGTTGATCAAAGATTAGATCCGCCTGTTGTTGCAACAAAAATTCGATTACTTCCATATAGCGATCACGTTCGAACTGTCTGCATGCGAGTCGAACTTGTCGGATGTGTCTGGACCGGTAAGTAAATCTTGGTGTTTGAAGCACTTATTTGAGGATAGGTAATTCGATTAGCATTCAGATCACGATTTCCCAGCGTCGCTAATTAGTTACGCTACCAGCAATATTAAAATTACCAAACAGTGTTTTGGTAAAATTATTATTACAAACTATCGTTTGATCTTATTTATTTAGAAAATGGCGCACGTAGTAAACTTAGTTCCCATCTATTTTATAAACAAATACGAACCAACGTATTAATTAACTTTATGCAAATTCGTTGACGCCATATTTCTAGCGGAAGTGCCTAATCCGCTCGGAGTCTATTTCGATTGTAGGGATTTGTGAATGGGGATGGATAAAATTGACGGCACAATTTTACGTTCTATTATTTTTTGAAATACAATCATATAAATGTCACGTTGACGTTATCTAGATGGCCTGTTGAGTTATTCCGGACCGCAGGGGTTGCACAGAGGTCTCGAGCTAGACCTCTCTGATAGGACATACGATGGACGGGAGGAAAATGGATATTTATTTCACGGTCTTGGACAGCTTGTCGACGGCCAAAAAGGACAAGATAATTTCCGTCTCGACCTTTCAGGGCACGGAAAAGGTAAGACGCCAATTTAGTTTACATCCGAGTTAAATAATAAGTTATTTACCTAATCGACTTGAGTATGTTCCATTAATCACGCGAAGTTGAGAGCGTTTTATTCTCGAACAAAATTTCTTACTTCTGTTACTTGAAGGATACGAATGGGTAGGGTGGCGTAACGATACACCCGGTTGGGCCGGTCATCCATTGGAAATGTTATTTGAGTTTGACAAAGTCAGAAACTTTTCAGCTGTGCATCTACATACAAATAACCTATTTACAAAAGATGTGCAGGTAGGTGAAGCAGGGTGACTTTATTTAATATTATCTTGTAGCTGGAGTTGCGTCCTATCGATTGAATTGCTACCCTTTCTATAATTCGGTTGATGGGATCAATCGGCCTCTACACGCACGCACTTTTTTTACAAATTTCCAGAAAAAATTACGATCCGTGTCTAGTGACAAAGGGTGACATTATTTGCAATTCACGCAAATAATGTCGTAAGCATCACAATTAGTCTCTTTTGCCCTGACGGTTAGGCGTTCAAGCACTGACCACATTTGTTTAGAATTACAATTTCGATAAATACGCTCACTTGATTTTCACATTTAACTGCCTGATATACTTGCGGGGAAATTTATGGTTATTTCATTTGGGAATGGAAAATCTGCCTTTTCAACCGATGTATGCGTTTAGAAATAAACTGGATTTAATAACGTTTAATGAGATATGTCGAAAGTTTTTGTAGTGCATCTCTTACAAAACGTACTGTAGGTACCTTGTGCGTAACTAAGATGTATTCCTTCTTTCAAGTTCGACATCTATTGATGATATACCTACAGCCAGAAAAGCGTGTCAGCGTTTCTCTTTTGAGGCCTTTAAAGTTTAAACTTTTTTAAAAAGGAAATTCAAGCCAATATAGCACAATTGATTGACGGTTATACCAAAGTTTGGTCCTATTTGGAACAGAAAAATGTAACATTCCTTTAGTTGCTTTAGTGTCTGCTTAATTAAATTAGTACAACCAACCCATCATATTTTTTTAACAGCATTTTGCTTTTTACGTAACTTTAACGATGGTTAGCATAGAACATGTTTTTTTTCATAGTAACCAATTCGCTTTTTGGGACTCTTCAGTAAACAATATTTTTATTAAATGATGCACCACACACTATACAGTTAGAGACTTGCCATAACAAGTCTCTAACTACGGTCTTTGATTAGGATTGGACTGAAATACGTAATTTTTCTATTATCAAAGGGATGCTTAGGAAACAAAAAAACATGTTTATTCTGATTCTTCTGTTTGTAGTTTTCATGAGCTATTCTCCGTTTTTTCTTAATCTAGAATAGATATTTACATTGCATGTTTAATGCTTTTCAGCACCGTTTTCTTTCAAAATATATAAGAAATATAGATACTTATTTTTCCATTAAAAGAATGTTATTTGATTGAATATCTCAATAATCCGACGTTCTTTTGAGAAAATATGCTTCATGTTTGCTTATTACTGCGGCTAGGTTCAGATGTTACAAATAAAGAAAAAATTTACGCCAAATGTAGACCCTTTACCCAAAAGGGAAAATTTTTGTTGTACCAATGTTTGAGCAACACAAACTGGAACTTTTTAAAAGATTCTAGTAGTCTCGGCGAGGTTAGGTTTAATATATTTTTTAATATAATTCTACAAGAATTTGATAATTGTTTACCAGTCAAGCGTAAACATTTTAATAAAAATCAAAAATCAATTTCCTGGTTTAACTAGCATTTAAGTAATTTAGTAAGGCCATGTGGTCAATTATCGATTCTTCTAGAAATACTAATCGTCAGGAAAGTCTATCGAACCTAACACCTGAAGAGTTCAATACATATTTTAAAGAAATTCCAGCGAAAATTACCAACAGAATTAATTCTACTTTTTCTGCAACATTAAGCACGAGCTCATTTAGTCGGATTAATAATCCGGCTCCCCACTTAAAATTTTTTTTGCACGAAGTAAGCATGATTGAGGTAAGAGACGCCATTACGTCTTTATCTAATAGTAAATGTCGAGACATATATGATCTTTCTGCAGAAATTGTAAAATGTCTAAGGGATTTAATTGTATTACCACTAACAGTGTTAATTAATGAGTGTTTTAGGGAAGGGGCGTTCCCAAAGGCACTGAAACGGTCTATTTTACCTTTGTTTAAAAAGGGTGACAAAGAGGATGTTTCAAATTATAGGCCGATTTCAATACTTCCCATTTTTTCAAAAATTTTTGAAAAGATCTTAAAAAATCGCATACTGAATTATTTTGAGGTCAATAATATTTTTTATTTGTTACTCAGTTGTAAACGTTGATTAACAAGACAAAACGCAAACGGGTAAACGTCATGTTTAAACGCTACTGACTTGTAAAACTGACAGCAGACCTGTAAAACTGATAGCAGACCTGTAAAAATTTTACAAGTTAGTAATCTAGTAATTTCATTGGCCAAAATTAATGCGAAGTCTCTGTTACATGGATAACATGATATTTTAGACATTTCTTCAAGATTAATTTAAGAACTAATTATTTACGTTTACTATTGTTTACAAATGAGTAACAAATAAAATATTGTACATTATACGCCAGGTAATAGTTTTTACTGGCTCTAGGAGATTCTCCTATCGCCAGTAAAAACTCACTTACCTGGGTAATAATGTAAAATACTATAATAATGCACAATACGGTTTTAGATCAAAAAAGTCAACGACGGACGCCCTTGTAAATCTATCTAGTACAATCTTAAATACATTTAATGAAAATAATTATACAACAGCAACTTTTCTAGATTTAAGCAAAGCTTTTGATTGTGTAAGTCATCAGATCTTGTTAAATAAGTTGAAAGCATATAATTTTGATGAAATTTCCATTAAACTCATGCAATCATATCTCGAAGAACGTTCTCAAACTGTTAGATATAACGGTTTATTCTCAAAAGAAATATGTGTACAGTCTGGTGTTCCACAAGGTTCCATTTTAGGGCCTGTACTTTTCTTAATTTATATAAATGACTTGCCTTCTACAGTTAATGGTCATTTCATATTATATGCCGATGAGACTACAATACTAAGCTCTGGTTCTAGTCTAGAAATAACAAATATAAGAAGTATAGATCTTCAAGGGCAGTCCAAGTCTTGGTTCCACTTGAACAAGTTGCCTCTAAATGAAGACAAAACAGAAGTTTTAACTTTTACGATGAGAAGGGACACTGATGTAATTAACCAAACGCCGGTGAAATTTCTAGGCGTCTATCTGGACTCCACACTTTCATGGACACGCCATATTGACGAGCTCTCCTCAAAACTGAACAGAACTGTGTTCTTACTCCGTAATTTACCAAACCATGTTTTTCCGGAAGTTACGCGCACTTCGGATTATTCCATGCCATAATGAATTATGGTATTTTAATATGGGGTCACTGCTCCTCTGTATCTAGAATCTTTAAAATACAAAGAAGAGTGGTTAGAATATTGGCTAACCTAGACTATCAATCTGATAGCAGGCAAGCCTTACCTTACCCTCACTTTACATATATACCTGTATGATTTATATGAAAAGTAATTGCCAAAAATTTAAATGCCACTCGGACTTTCACAATTATGATACGCGAAATGCATAATTACGTACCTACTTATTTACGACTTAAAAAAAGTCAGTACGGCCCTAATTTTTTAGCCATAAAATTTTTTATATGTTGCCCACCGCTCTCAAACATTGCAATGAAATGGAGTTTAAATCTAAAATTAAATCATATCTAATAAAAAAGGCTTTCTATTCACTAGAAGAATTTTTGACGAATAAATGTGATATAATGGAATAGTTTGTATAATTATTATGTTTGTTTGTAATTTACACTTGTGTAAACACCATGTGTAAAACATCAATAAATATTATTATTATTACTATTATTATTACTCTATTTTCTAGCTTCCTCAATAGCAAAAAACTTAGCAATAGTGTCGGATTTAGTATAGGCACACTATCGATTGCGCTATATCGGCAACTGTCACTTTAGGTACATCAAATATATTGCTAAATTTCTTTTGAATGTTCATTGATATTTATAATATATAGATATTCCTGTATTCCAGGATCCATACCGATTGACGGCTAAAGACACATTCATTTATTTGTGTGTTTCCTCTTTTTTATTGTGTTTACCGCATTTTTTCAAATGTATTTGTAAAAAGGTATTAATTTCAGTTTGACCGGCTGGCTGGCCGCAAATGGGGGCTCGTAGAATAACGCTTGTAGAACGACAAGGAGTATCGTCTAGCGGAGCCATGTAATTAACAACTTTAGGGACGAGATTACATGATGTGGGGTCGGCGGCACCTGGGCGCCATCCCCTAGCGTACGTGGGTTTACTAACGTGGTGATTTTTCAGTTTTTTTCCTTCTTTAGTTTCGGTCCGATTGTTCTCAAACTGGTGCCGTCGGAAAGACCTTATAAACGCGCACAACTCTGAATTTTTGTTAGGGGCGAAATTAACCACCCTTTGCAAGGCGTGCAACTTTGAGAGGTAGTTGACTTTCGGTTTCTCTTTCTCGTGTCTCGAGCTGTGAGAAGTGTCCCAAAAATTGAGTACTATTTTGTGAAGGCTTTTTAGCGAAATCGACCAAACTGCGAATTGTGGGGGAAGGAATGTGGTAGCACCCGCCACCCGGCAAAATCTTACTTATGGTGGAGTCAAAATTTCAAACGCGAATTGGGGATGAACGACACGTCGGAAGTGAGTACAAAGGAAATGCCAGGGCTGCTTTTGCTTTTGCGATATAGGCATTTCATTTCAGTCGATTTGGGGACGGTTTTTCATGTTTCAGTTAAACTCATTTGATAGACTTTGTGTGTAGGTTTGTTTCCGAACAAACTGTCAGGTAGAGTAAACGGTCACATCAAAGATCGGCAAGTACCTTTTATATTCAGTGTAATCTATTACATAAAATGCAATTTTCACTGTGCGTTTCTTAATTGACGCCGAACAAGCTCCTTACTTTTTATTATTTAACACAACACTCCACGTTATAAATAATAACGCGAACGTGAATGAAAAGTGGTAGCAATTCATTAAAATGCAAATAACTATGGCCAAACGAATAATGGCAACATAAATATTGTTCAAGCTTGACTTTTGGCAGATTCATAAATAACTGGAAATCAAAGATAAAACTCAACTTCAGCTACGAATTATTTTTATATATTACTTTGTATACCTAACGCTTTTTTCTCACAGGTATTTTCGCACGCTAAAGCGTACTTTAGCATTAGCGATAATGTATTTAACGGAGAACCTGTACACTTTTCGTACATGCCCGATTTAGTTCTTGATCATGCACGTAACGTTACTATTAAGCTTCATCACCGCATTGGACGTTTCCTAAAACTCCAGCTTTACTTCGCCGCTCAATGGATTTTGCTCAGTGAGATTTCGTTTCACTCCGGTAAGCAAGTTTAGCCCTTTTGCGTATCCTCAATTACCCCCATGATTTATAATTCCGTTAAAAAATTCGCATTTTTCAACAAGTTGTGCTCTTTAACCGAAATTAGTTTTTTATTGCGTTTAATAAAAAAAATGTTCGGTGTACATTTTTCATCCCAGCTGAATGCGCTCGACACCCCAAAATATTATACATAATCGAGCACTAAACTCGTTGATAAGTTTCTTTCTTTGTGATACCTATTCAGCAGCACAGCAGCAAGATCACGATCTCATTCCAGCAGTGGTGAGTGGAAATTTTACAGAATGGGAGGAAGACGTCGAGATTCCCGATACGGGTAGAGAATATCCACTGCAAAAAGACGAAGTGGAAGTTACATCTACCAAAACTGGCCGTAATACTGCCGGAGCACCCATAAAAACGGATTCGAACGAGGACTCGAAGCAATATATTGGTTTTGTTATTGGTGTACTCGCCGTAGTTATATTGATACTTACGGCAGCTATTGTTTTCATAGTCTACAGAAATCATAGACTGAAGCAAGTTACGGCGGAACCGAGCAATTTTAACGTGGAAAATCGAATGGACTGCGAACTGAAGGTAAGGCTAGAACATATTGTCATTTAATAAAAATGCGATGGGGGAGGGTTTTATATTCACAAACGTGATGAATGCGCTCGGAAAGTGTGCTTTTGTTACTTTTATTAAACAATCAGAATGCAAAATGTGAAGCTTTCGTATTATGAAGGTATTTAACTGGACAATCCGGTCATTTGCAAATTTCTATTGTGTAGTTTGATACGCAGATGAATTTAAAGTGGTCGACATCCACAAGTTAGGCTTGTTTAAATGGAACGCCATCTTTTTTAATTACTTTAATTGTTCATACCGTATTTATTAAGTCCAAAAAAGAGATATCGTAATCCATCGCGTTTACAAAGCTTTCGTTGGTAATTGTGGACATGCGATTAATTTAAAGCTTTCCATTTGCGTATTTAAATAAAGGCCACGTGATAACGAAGGGATGGCCTCCACTCTTCGGTCCGCCAAGGAAAGGGTTCCTTTATTGGGACGATTGGGTTTAAAGTCTCACTCAAAGAAAATGAGCACATTAGGATGAGAAGGGAGATTTATGAAAGCAAAATAGTACCATTGCGGTTAGTTATCGTAGAATAAAGTTTCGTAAAGGTAGTTTGAGAATTTGTTACGTGTATTTTTCCGTTAGCTTGTCATGTCGCGGAAGGTATTGCAAAGTAAATTGCATCACGTTTGTGAAAGAAAAATAAACAAATGTACCAAGCATGTTTATTTAATCAAACACTTTCGACGATTACAAACAACTAATAGACTTCCAGTTTCTGATATATAAACAATACAATTTTCCTCAATACATTTTCTAGTTACACTTAACTCTCACAGTTAATTTCCATGGAAACAAATTCACATGGGTTGTCTGCTAGACCAACATGAACAAATCTTTTTATACCATCCGCTTAATTTTCTTCTTTACCTATTAATGATCAATACCATTTCTGTTGAAATTTCCTTTAAATTTTTGTCCAGTTTTATTACCATGACTTGATAAAATTCTGGGCAGGCCTGCATTTTCATTTTCGTTGCTTTTTCCTATTGAAGCATGGTAAATATATTCACATACACAGTGACATCGCATGTATAAATATACTTGGAGTCTTTCTACTTTTCACTGATCTTAGTATTTAGTGCACTTTCACTTTCAAAAAATAAAAAGTGTACTTTTGCGCTCCTTATGTCTGTCTGTCAGAAAGGCTCCGGAACTACACCACTTACAGACTTGGTGGTATTGGTGTTATTCGATCAGAAATTAAAAATTATTTCATGTTTGCATTCTCGTTAAGGCATGAAATGTCAGTAAGGGCTATTAAAATCGAAAAAACAAGTTTTGCACTCTTCGCCTCTTGCTCACAAGCGGCTAAACGAATTTTTTTATCATTTGCAGGATTATTTTGTCGTTTCCCTCTGACCTTCCTAATTTGAAACTTAACTTGACTCGTACAACTTTACCCAAGTTTTCTGTTAAGTTTTATCGTCACATTCATTTTGAGTCACGTGTCATAGTCCCTATTTTTGTGCCCCATTTTATTTTTCCGCGTAAAATAGTTCACTTTCGTAACCTTTTTCCTTTTAGTATGATTTTTCCGTATTTGACCACTAGTGATCTTATCTTGATTGCCTTACCTTTCTTTGGTATATACATATTTGGTATATACAAGAAAATTTCATCCATTATTGTTAAGATTACTACCGTCAAAAACCGAAACGTTCGAAGCAGCGCAGCAGAGGAACCATAAACATCGAAGGTTCAGACGAAACTAAAGAATCTCTGGAAACGGAAAAATTGGAAAAACCGAAATTTGGACTTCTCATTTGCCTAGAAATAGTGCCTACTTTGATTTGATTTTCCTGCATTTTTTGCGTATTCGTCCTCCCATCGTATTTGTGGTCTTCCCCTTTCTCTTTTCCCCAACCATGGTCTCCAGTTTAGTGTTTGCGCATTCCATCTTTTGTCCAGAAGCCGCCGTATGTCCTCCCTGGTTGAATACTCTTGTTTTTTATATTGTGCAATGTTTTTTTTATTTTCCAGTGCATCTCGAAGTTTTCCGAATGCTGCTCAGATCAATTTGATTCTTTTTCCTATTTCTTGGTTTTCTTTGATAAGTTTTATTCTCTGTCTTCTTTGTGTTCTTATCTTTCGCCGTTTATTTTTATGATTAGATTCTCTCTGGTGTTTGTCATTATGTTTGTTTTATTTTTTTACCTGTCACCCATTTTTTTCTGATGCAACATGCATTTATTGTAATTCTGTTGAGCTCTTAGTAGACAAAATTATGTCATCCGCGTATTTTAGGCGATTCAATTAACTTCCGTTTATGTTTTTATGATTTTGTTTCCCATTCTAGTTTTTTGGGGCTCGGATAGTCATATTGGGCAACAAAATATGAAGCCATGAAGATTCGACCGAAAACCACGTTCCCAATAACATAGTTTTTCAGTCTGCAGTTACATCTAAAGAGGCGATATTCTTTAAATTTGGGCATTGTATTCCGGAGCACACAGAACCATAATAAGAACGATTAAGCATTGCCTTTATCATCATTGCGTGTCTTAAAATAAAGAAGGCAATTAGAATGTTTAAATGGAGCTTGTTTAATACACAAGTTACATAAAGGGCTACAAAGTAAGTCGCCTACAAAAACGAAATTCTCCCTTATGTTTCGCGAAAATGTAAATCAAATTGGTGTATCCAGAATGTAACAGCCATAAAGAGCAACGTCGTTATAACCGAGTGTTATAGATCTATATCCCACTTAGAAAAGAAAAATGGAGAGTCGATCATTCAATCACAAAAAAATATAAGTCGGTTATTTACGTTTATTGTAACACGCATCAGCCAGTAATATTATCAAACCCGTGAGCCATATTATTTCCGATAAAAAGAGAAAATGAAGAGCTCAAAGTTGGGAAAGACCAAAATGGTTTTAATACTGACATCAACGTAATCGGATTATCTTTGGAACGTTTGTTCTTAGTGATAAGTGTCAATTTCTATAATGATTAATCGATAGACCGAAAATGAAATGGTTTTCCTTATAGAATCCGTCATAAATGAAAAGAGCCCTTGTATATAATACGAAACTAAATTATTAACCGAGAGTGGGAGAGCGTGTATTATTTTCAATTTAGGGATTACATTATTAAGTGGTCGAGCTGTTTATAAATTTAAGCGATGGAAACTGAATAATTTAAAAGTATGTTTCACACGTAGTTAGTTTTTGACTCGTCCCAGCTGACGTTTCCCTCCACAATCCCGTTCATAACTATGCATTAGATTTACAGCGAACCCTATCAATCACTTTTATAATTTTAGATGGACATGAACGACGATGAAATTGATAAATCAATTGAGCGCGAGGAACCGATTCGTGCCAGTGCATACGGCGCCCACCTTAGTCCAATGTATACAGGTATTTCTCCAAAGCTCTTAAAGCTTTTGATGACCGCCTCGTTGCAGATGTTCCAGACATCGTCCGCAAAAACTGCAACTTAGAGGACTACGTGATCGCTCCACTAAATGCGAAATCGCCCTCGCTGAGGAGCCCTCAATCTTTGTTGAACTTCTTCCCTCAACCGCCTCCGATTCCTCCACCGCCCGAAATGTACTCGGCAAATCCAAAAATCTACCTACCCCTCGAAGGTCACAAACCAATTCCATCCGCGCCATTACTAACGCCCACATCTCAAAGGTCATCAGATAGCAGATCGAGTCGCCGCTTCATATTGCCCCAGAGCATGGAGAAGGACGATTTTTCGGCCGTACGCGAGGAGGACATCGACATTGTAGAGTTCCCGCGGGAGCAACTGCGTGTAATAGAAAAACTAGGCGACGGACTCTTCGGCGAGGTACACCTGTGCGAAGTGCAGTGGCATTTAAATAATGTGATTAACAGTGATTGTAAGTTCGTCATGATACAGTCCTTAAAGGACGACTCGTATCGAACGTCATTTAACAAAGAAGTGCGTGTACTGTCGAAACTTAAAGACCCTAATGTTGCTCAATTGTTAGGTGCATGCTTAGATTACGAACCCTACTTTTCAGTTAGAGAACATTCAGAATTGGGTGATTTATGTCAATTTCTACAGGACCATGTTGCTGAAACTGCAACACCGTTAGCGTCAGCTGCAAGTACACTGAGGTACGTAAGAAAATAATAAACGACCCAATTTGTTATTTGAAAATATATTATAGCTACGGGTGTCTTATCTACATGGCGACGCAAATTGCATCAGGCATGAAATATTTAGAGTCCATGAGATTTGTACACAAAGATCTGGCTACTAGGTAAGTCCTATAAGAATCCCATAATAAAAGGCATAATTTCCTTATTGCCGCTTTCAAATTAAATTTTGTATATTTATTAAAAGTTGCTGATGTAATAACTGACGCGAACAGCTTGCCTAAATATTCATTTGTGTTTATATTAACTTCTGTTTTTCGCGATTTCCTACCCTCTTGTGAATGAAGTTTTCAAAGTAATTAAGGAAATTAGTATTTAGATTTTATTTTTTAATGCGCGCAGTTGTATTTTTCGCAGCATTAACTTACTATTCTTACCCAACTTTTTCTTCAATTTGAATAAAATTATACCTACTAAATTTTGAGAGACGACTGACTTGAATGTTATTGACATTAATAATGCATATTGAACGAATCAAAAATCATCCGCGAGGGGAATGTTGTGATCCAACAACCACTTTAAATAATACTTTTCTCCTTTTTTTTTAAATCTTTCTAAATAATTAAAGTTTTTTTAATGACTACGCCTCTATCTGACCTCCTTACTTGCATATGCTTTCTAATATTGTTCTTTTGTTGTCCTTTAACCAAAATTTAGCCCTGATAAATGCAATTCCGAACATGAATTGTTCCACTTTGATGCGAAAAGAAATGTGAAACGGGGGGTGTAGTTCCACCCCCCGCGGATTTCATACCGTTTTGCACACCTAATTAGAATGAAATTCCATGTTACCAGGACAAATTTATTTTTATAATGAGCGCGATTATTTAAATCATGAGGCCTTTTGAGCAATTTTTTCATAATTCCCTGAACTGAGATTACTTCAACTAAATAAATGCAATTTTTATTAAAATCTCTCAAAACTAGAACCACAGATTTAAATCTGTGCTAGAACTTTTACGGAAAAGAGCTAGCCTCACATCCGTCCATGCCCATAGATGGTATAGATCAACATGGTTAGGCGGAGATAAAACATTCTTGAATGTCCCAAAGTCTGAATTATGCAAAGACATTTTTTAAGCATGAAAATAGATAAGGCGCGTATTTTCCTAAAATACATGTCAATCAAGAGGCTATAGTGAAAGTTAGAGGCTAGCGGTGTGAAATTTGTAATTGTTTTTTTAGTTCTATTTTGCCGTCTCCACTATGCGTAAATCCACCCCTGATGGCATATTTTGGCGTAAAATGTGATCCGAAATAATAATACATGATAGTAATAAATGGGCGTTTTTCAAAAGTAAACGAAAATAATTTCTTACTGCTGGACTAACCAGTTTTGAGCTAAAAGCGAAGTATAGCAAAAAATCTAAATGTGTAACGCACTTCACCTTCCAAGTCCTAGATAGGTAACGGAAGTAAATATTACTTTCCTTGTTCAGAAATATCATCCACACTTTTCGGGTCGTTTCCTGCTAAATAAACAAGGCGTAGGTATATAAAGGAATCGAAGGAGCTTATTATTGCCTGGCGTAAGGATAACTAACTTAATATAAACGTTCATCAATTAAGTTCTGTCAGCGTCAAGTGCTCCACTCCAACTATTTAATATAAATTACGTGTGTAATCAGAAAACGTTTATGTGGAACTGAAATTCAATTACGTTTGTTTTATTGGGGCAATTATAAATGGTTTCAAATGCAATCGTACCACAGTAAACTAAAATCGATAATGGGGTTGATTAGCGTTTTTTTCCTTCTTTTGTTTGCGTTCAAAAGCGCGTGAAAAGGGCATTTTTTACTGTCTTGCGTGGTAATGCATAATGGCATAACAATGTAAGGGCGCTAGAATGATTCAGAGTTTTTGAATAGAAAATACGTATCTTATGTTACATGGGAAGTTTATGTTGCCGGAAATTACACTTTAAATGTTGAAGTAGGTGACGCGCGTAAATGTAACCTTCTTCGTGTGATTTACTACGGGTGAGACTTCGGGCAGTATATGGGATCTGGATAGGCAAAAGTTCCTCTAGAAATTCCATATCTGCTGTTATGCTCTCGGTTATAAAGAAATTCATTACTATACTGTACGTAATAAAAGTCGTAGAAGGAAGGTTCTAAAAGAAATTTTGTTATGTCGTCAGAAACCACAATTGCATTATACCGAGCTTCCACTACTTTACAATTTTTACTGAGACTTATGGTACATGGAATAAAGGTATATTTATTTACATTGCAGTACCGAATATCCATGGTTCCTCTAAAGCTTTTAATCCTCAAAACACACAACACCAGAATATCTCAACAACCTTCCACGTAACATTTCATAGTACTACCATACCTAAGTTTGGTTCTGATCGATTAACATTTCTCATTTTTGTTTACCTACGTTGAAAGGGGCGAGAGGCGAGAAGTGTGATTTAAAATTAGAACAAAGAAGCGTAATGAAATTTTTACTAAAGGAAGGCAGTAGATCGAAGTCCTTTCGTACAAGCGTTTCAAACGGTCCATTCATGACTTGCCAATGACGTCAAGGTAAAGAATTGGCGCTGATTGACCGCCGAGTAAAATTTCTGTAATCGTTAAAGAAATAGGGTTATCAGAAACGATTGTTCATTCTACCATAGTGTAAAGAATCGAAATTTACACTATGATTCCCTCGATGATTCCACATACCTTGGAATACTATTAGTAATAGTAAAGTTCTAAAGGTTTACCTTTAAAAAGTGTTTTAACACATCATTATTTTAAACCCCATTTGGTCATTAATTTCTATTCTTAATTAATTATTTTCAACAAAAAATTTTAAATATCGAAAATCTGTTATTTTAGTCCCACTCAAGATTAATGGTAGTAGCAAATCCTCAAGTACGTAGAAGAGGCAAAAATACAAGGCTACGGGAACGTTCCATTTGTAGTTAAGTACCCTGGGAATATTTCTTAACAAATTGCTAAGAAACTCCCAAAAATGTATAAAAAGTCAATCGCAAAAAATCCAGTGCAAGGAATTTTCTAGATGCTGTACTTATAATAAGCTATCGATGTCAATTTTAAACCTTAATTCTTCTATAATGATGAGAAAGGGGGCGGAAGGGTTAGCATTTTTAACAAGGGAAGTAGCTAATTAAATGGGGCTAATTGTTGGTTGGAACTCATTATTAAGTTGCGACAAATTTACTGCAAACTCACGGGGGGCTTCCCGGTCCGAGCTGGCGCGGACCTCTCCTAGACCTCGCCGAACATTCCGATTGGCGATTGGGGTTGAATGCGTCGTTGGAGATGACATCCTGGGGAGTTAAGATGGAGCTCATACTATTTGGGAAACGGTTACGCCGCCGCGTACACACATCCCGGCTCGGTCCTCTGACTAAGACCCTCAGCCATAAATCAGTAACGTCAATCTATGTCTCTTATTGCCCTCCCTGTGAACACATCTGCAGGTCAAGCTCCCCCCTGAACTTTTTTTTACCAATGAGGCCTTGATTTCTCGTATTGGGTCGACACCATGGCGAATCACCTTGTCTTTTTATCAAATAGGGGTTGCGTTGACATTTTCTTTCTCCTTATTTACGTTCTTAAATTTTGTTAATTGTAATAAAAATTCCATTCTAATTAAGTGAATCATGAAACAAACCATTTTTGCTAAAAGCGTCTACATTCTAATTGTGCATGGAAAGAGCAGCTATCATTACTCCAAAACTGGACTTGTATTGTTGTCCTGTTCTGTACAGTACGAGGAAATATTTATTATAATTTGCATGTTTGCGTGTTTTAAAATTGAAATCGATCCCTCGTGACATGTGAAGTCAAAATTAAGGTTTAATCAGATACCGGAGTTTAAAAAGACTTTGAGATTTCAATCAAAATTTGGAGGACATGGTGATAATATTGATAACTTCACAACAACAGAAAATTCTCAACTTGCAAGTTTCTTACGGTTTTTAGAAAGATTTAGGGCAAACCTTATAGGAAGAATTTTAACTCTTATTTCTCCTAAGATATGTCTAAAGGCGATTTCGAAGGACGTGTCTAAGATTTCTTTGTCAAAATTCTAACAAGATTTCAAAAATAATCCTAAGATTGATAAAGATATTTCTAAATTTCGAAGGTTCCCACAAACTTGGAAGAACGGCAAGATGATCTGTAGATAAATTCTTAACTACCTATCGGCCAAATTTTCTATTTTCCAGGAAAATTGTCCAATAGGCATTTTCACACGATTAGGGCACTGTGCGCGGGTGCAACGTCCTGTTGAAACCCACAGTTTCCAACTCCTGTTTTTTTTGTATGTGTCTATGTGCTGTACATCGTTGTATCCGTAATAAAAAGGGGGGTCTCTATAAAAAAAAATAAACTTGACGATTTTTCCGAAACGTAACGTTGTATTAAAAATCTCTCAATGGTGTCTTGTAGAGCTCAAATAGTGACAATCAGAAAGTCTTTTTATATTTTGCTTTGTATCTGTTCAAACAACATCAGAAAAAATAACAAAATGGGCAAATTTCGGAAGTCATCGAAATTATCTCGTATTCTTTACAGTTTACAGCATGATAATATAACTCATTAATTGGGCAACTTTTCCCTTCGTGTCTTCTATGGTTTCCGAGATCCCCATGATAGACATTTTTACCTTGGACACTGTGTATACTCACGACCTTTGAATTGCAATTCCAAAAATTAACATCTTGAAAGATTTAGTTTTAAGGCGGCTTTCTTTAAATGCTCAAAAACGGTTTATAAATTTCTTAAATGTGTGGAAAATATGCTTAACCGCTTTTAAGTGAAAGTAAATTAGGCACTACGATCTCTCATTTCAGAAGGTACAAAGCGAGTATAAGTTAAAATTGCAATTAGAGCTTTAAGAAAACCTACGTGACTATTCACACAGTGAAAGAACTATTTCAACGTCTTAATTTTTATTAGTTTAATTTGAAAGAAAAGCTCTCATTCGAAAATAATTGGATATTAAAAGTCAGGTCGCGATAGCTTCGCATTCGAGATTTTGCTAATCTTTGTTCTTATTGGAGATACCTAAACTACAGTCAACGAAAAATTATGTAGACCTTAGTTAGAGGCCTAAGAAAACATCTTTCGCATAGTTAACTTACGAATCTCGTAAAAAGAAAATCGCTGAAAAAGCTCTATTGATATTATACTAAAATTTGATGCAATTTGGTGAGGTACATAGTTTTCCTTTTTTGAGGTTTTATAGATCTGCAGCGGAGAAAGCACCGAAAGCGAAAACTTTTGATCTTTCATGCTCACAAATTGCTATTCAAATATTTTTCCCAAGATTTGGGATCCAGCTCATTGAAATCCGACGAACTGTTTTTTTTAGTACCTAAACTGGAGTCTACATACTTCTACAGCGACAGTAATCCTGAAGCGTTGTAACATTTTATTCTTTCCGCAGGAATTGCATAGTAGGAAAACAGTATAGGATAAAAGTCTCAGACTTGGGTTACGGGAGGACTTTGTATATCAACGACTACTGCATCATTGCTGAATCAAGACCGCTTCCGTTAAGGTGGATGGCGTGGGAAAGCATCTTGCTGGTAAGAATTATCTCACAACAATCTTCCACATTTCCCATTTTCCATCTAGGGCAAGTACACATCGAAAAGTGACGTGTGGTCCTTCGCCGTCACGCTCTGGGAAATTCTATCCTTCGCACGGGAGCAGCCCTTTGAAGAGTTCAACGACTCCAAGGTGCTGGAAAACGTAACCTGCTACTATCAAGATAATGGACGGCATGTAAGTTACGTATCTTCCCCATCATCGTTAACTTACCAGGTCTTACCCACGCAGATTTTATTAAGCGTCCCGATCAACTGCCCGAAGGAGATCTACGACCTGATGTGCGAGTGCTGGCAGAGGAACGAATCGGACAGGCCAACGTTCCGAGAGATACACCTCTTTTTGCAGAGGAAAAACTTGGGATACCATCCCGAATTGAACTGACGGTGGCTTTTCTTTCTACCAACGACAATAATGTAGAATATGTGATATAACTTTAATTTGCAATTCTAAATTTGTTTTTTACTTAAGTGTACCTTAACGGCGAACGCCCCTCTAGAAGCTACCTACAATCTTTCGAAATTAGGTCCTGACAGCACACTTCTTTCAGTTAAGGTACGTAAGTGCCAGTCTGTGTGCCTTCTATCCTTGCTGCTAACTTGCTTCCTACAAGTGCATTAAATTAATACGCCTCTCGTCAGCTTCCGATTCCAAAAGTTAATAATGTAGATGTTAATCTTGTTATTGGTGTTGGATTGTAAACAATACTTTATCCATATAGAAGCCAATCATTTTCAAAGCTACGAATATCGTTAAATATATAATGTAAGAAAATGCTACTCGGCGCTTTCAATAAAATTTACGTAAAATTATGTACCAAGCAAATTATATACAAAGAAAGCAATCATATCGGTTAAATAAATCAAAACCTCTAATCTTTGTAAATATAACATTACACGTAAGGTATGTAATTTGTCTTTTGTACATTAACATTGTTATTATTCTTACTATGGACCAATTTAAAATAAAATCGTAAAAATCGTGTTCATTTATTCCATCCGACCCTAAACTCCTGTTTGTCGATTAACTGAAAAAGGATAATAATGATTATTAAAGGCTGCTTGCAAAGTGTAACCGTTAGAAAGTTGGAAGAGTAATGCTCGCTGTCAGTAAGGCTAACCGCAAATGAACAGCGAACCTCGTTCCCAAAAAAACATGAAGGAGAGTCAAATATACGCGCCCTTCTAACGTAAGGGTATTAAAAAATTCTCCTGGCTGGAATAATTAATGTATGTAAACGTGCGAGTGGATGTGATTTCAGGTAGGTCGAACTAGCTTTGCACGCAAAATGGGTATTGATTTAGGTTTTTGCTTGCGTTGAAATTAAATAGCAAACAGTTTTGCATGTAACGCAGATTAAATGCTAGCATTTCCTATTATTTATAACGTTATTAAATTAGAAATGAGGATGTGCGTGGAAACATAAACTTTCGCCCGGGGGAGCGTTCATAATTCTTTTCAAAAGTATCGATTTTAATTTCAAAATCCGTTGTGCACGATATTCACGTTATTAATTGTTACATGTCCAAGTTGTCACCGAAACCACGAGTTCCTAGGTGTCATGGTGAAATGGTTACCCCTTTCCACCCCTTCGTCAAGATCAACAATTCAACAACCACTAACTAATTAGGTCAATACAATGGAACATAACGAGAATTCCCTCACCCCTAATACCAGTTGCAATGTACCATAAAAATTGAAGGAGGCATTTTAGGTGACCGGTGCCACCTAAAAATAGTTTTCTTCTGTACCTGGGGCATTTCTCTCCTTTTCAGTCGAATTATTTGCTTGATGTTGGCGTATTGGGGAAATGTTCCTTGTTACCCTTGCGACAAATTAGCGACACCTTGGTTTACCAACTGAAAATGATTCTGCGCCAAAACACCCGCGTCAAAACAAAATCACCCGCACTTGAGGGGCTGCGGGAAACCCTAATCATAACTATAGTAATCTATCAAAATAAACAATATTCCTTTGGCACTAAATACAATACGAAAAAGCCTCTTAAATTTGTTATTATCGCGCTTGTTATAAAACTTCATTACGGACAGGTCTGTAACTAATGAAGAGCGTTAAAAAACTTTAATCTCCTCAAGATTTCTCAATATCAAATGTAAAATCCCGCCATTAGGGAAACTTAAAAAACTCGAGGTTATCTTAAACTTTAATCGGTACTCAAGCATTTTATCAAGAAATATCGAAAATATTCCTTTGGCCACAACACGGAAGGATTTTTTACATTAAAAAACACTAAGTAAAATATTTTTTGTGAGGTGTTTCGACGAGGGTTATGGATAGCCCCTCAACAATTTTAAAAATTCCTGAATCAAGTATTGTGGTGAATCTAATTTTAAGTGCTAAAGGAGTATTTTAGACTCCTTCTGGTTGGAATTTTTGAGTTAGATTGGAATTTCAAATAGTACCTCAAGATTCAGAAAATTTCTCTAATAAGATTTTGGTTGGAAACCAACTATACATTGGAATTCTGCTTACAGTTCTCTTTCTCACTCTCTTCTCAATCTGGAGAATCTAATTTAACAATTTACAAAACAATGTCAACATTATTAATTTTATTATCTATTTATTTATTGTTCTTCTCATGTTCTGGGCACTCAACAGGCTGTGACCCGCATAATGCTTTTTCGAGGTGCCCCTGCAGAAGGTAGTTGTTCTATACTACTCCGGTATTTACCTTACGAATTAGGAAAACTGCAGAAAAACCTAATTTGGAGTAGCCGGCAGAATGCTCGAAACTGATCTAAAGAAATTCCTATCTCTGTCACAGATGAAGAATTCACCTCAACGCAGGTTCGAACACCCGACCTCCCGGCTATGTAGCCCAACGTTCTACCATTGAGCCACACAGGCGGTATTATCTGTCCGTTTGTGTCGTCACGTGTTGTATATGTACCGAGATGAAGAAAATCGAATGCCGGGCTGTTCCTTACAAAACACGGAAAACCTCCAAAAATTATTCTTGAAGATATGTTGGCTGTATACGGGGATGATTTCCCTTCTAATTCAACTATTTCCGAGTGATCAATATTGACCCGTTAGGGTGCCCTGTTAACGTTATCACTTCAGATGTAGTTGAAAAACAGTCTTTGATACTGGAGGATGCACAACTAAAGAAGCCACAATTAACAGATTCACTAAGAGTTTCAGAAACCACCGTTAGGTATGGATAAAAACATTTTTTGGCAGAGCACCTATTTATTACATTCCTTTCCGAACTTCTTTATTAAATAATAGAGCTTCGCTCTGCCAAGTTGACGTAGAAAAAATCGTATTACCTCGCGAAATCTGGAAGACAATATTTGGTATTAATTAAACCATGTAAATGTAAAACAAATCACAAGTTTCCAGACTTTGCATACTCTCGTTTAACTAAAATGCACGCAAAGGATAAATGTGATTTTTTTTGTTAAAAAGGACCTTCAAGACGCCTCTCGCAACGAAAACGCGACGCGAAACAAAGACGGCGGTAAGTATTAGAAAAATGTTGTCATAGTCCTTTCGTTTATAGTTTCAATATCGCGATATTACCTGCCATAAAAAGCAGAAGTTAGAAATGGCCAGAGCTTCCGAGACTTCTGGAACAGGTAAACCGTAAAATGTCAAAATGGTGATGGAAATCGGGTGGTATGACATTCCGTTAAAAGCATTTCCGGATCAGCGACCGATTTTAACGTTGTGAATGGAACAGCCCGTCGATATGACTGCTATTCAATTTCCTCAAATATAAATTTTGTTATGTCATGTAGAAATTGATAGGCTGTTGCTTGATATACAGGTGTGCACTATGTAATAAAAATTAATATTTATTGGTATATGGCGCCTTGGAAAATCTAATTGCGTTTTAGTTTTCCGAGGCGGCATCAATTTTCACGTTAGCTTTCTCGGTTCGCTTGAAGACAATAAACGATAATAGCGTTTAACAACTAAGGCAATTTTGGTGAAATGTAAACCAGGAAATAGCACTTTGCAAGTATTTAACTATAAAACGCGATAAGATCAGGCTAACATGGCAGAATGATCCTGTTATTATGCGGAATCTTAAACCTTGTAACACAAAGCGTGCACTTTAATGTATTTACTGGCGAATTTGCTGAAATAACTATTTAATTGTCTCAGGGCATAAATTCGGCAGATTTTACACGCACGTGTAAGCGAAATTTGAGCAAACGCGAGGGATTCTTAAAGCGTCTAACCGCATTACTTACATGGATTCTGAAAGTTAAAATCTGTTGTATTCCCCAACATGGCTTTACAATTCACGACACATTATGGAATTGCAGAGTTCGAAGTAGTCGGAAGGAAGTTATACCTCACAATAACATTTGTCAGGTTCTGGAATGGAATTATCCTGCTCCCAGAGAACGGCGACAAATTCGATTATGTGGGTCTAAAGTGCTTAACCCTTAGAACATCTTCCTAAAATACAATTGCTACATTCTCATTCTCCGCGTTTTCTTAATTTTTTCGTTAAATCATAATTTAAAAATCTTTAAAGGAAAAATGGAACGCCCCTCGCGATGATTAACTGTGCCAAGACATGATAACTGTACATCTGAAATTGATGGCGATGTAGTTTTCAGGTCATCACCGTGTTCGTAAATATTAAAGCAGCTTTGTCACGGACGTTTTTCTATATATTTATAAGATGACTTCCTTTTGGTTCCTTTCAGCCAGTGCACCATTCTTTTCTGAGCGCATTATTCTAAAGGGGAATTGTGGCTAACAAACGAAAAAGTGCAATTCATTTAAATCGGGACTCACGAAATTACCTCTTGCATTTTCTTTCATAATTGATTAACAGTGGCAGGGCAGATTACAAACTAATTTTGGGAAATAAACTTTCATAGCAAAAACGAACAGAAATTTACAATGGCTGGAATTCAATGAGATCAGTTTACGGAACTATAACTTCTGAACTTAGTTGGGAAACTATGAGCTTATATGAAATACTGGCGATTGCAGAAATTGTGATACAATGTGCAGTGGACGATAAAGGGTACACTTTAACCATACCATCTTGTGCATACAGTGGCATGTTTCAAATCTGACTGACGTTATGAAACGTCTTATTTTTCGGGTTACGACGTGCATTCACAAAGAATCAAGCCTTGTAGGTGTTCGAAAAGTAAAAGTTTACCTTACATAGATGCAAAAAAATATATAGTAATTATTTTCAATTAAAGAATTAATTCTCCTTTTCTCCGATTAGTCTGTTTTACATTACCATTTAAAAAAAATTAAAATTGTCCTGCAGGAAAACTTCACACTGCCCTGAGATTGAATTGAATTAATAGTTTAAATGCAATTAGACTTAAAGGGCGTTAGTCTTTGTGTTTTCCTATAATCGCTTCGCCAATTTAAAGAAAATAGTGTATTTGACGCTAAGCCTAATGATGGGGAGGTAACCCCCCGAAATCGATAGCTAAAGAAAAATATAAAAACACTTCAGCCTTGTTCTCTTTTTTATACTCAATACTGATAGACTGATATGGAGACATACATCTTTTGGAAACTCTGCTACAATTATCGGTGGTGTAAAAGTTGAGCTAGACTGCATTTTCGGGTCACCTCCAGGATGATATTCCAATGAAGTGAAAGCCCCTCCTCCGCGATGCTTACGATCTTCGATACTACCACCTGCATCCATGAAAATTGTAGACGATGATCGTCTCAAGCAATGACCTGTGAATGCAGCTGGATCTTCCCAAACCCAAATAAGGAGCAATTAGTTTTGGTATATCTCCAATTTTGTTACTACACACGGATTGTTTTGTGCATTAGGAGTTCCGATAGTTTAAACACAGTCGACCTTCCACCGTGGGTGACCAAACAGCGGCGTATTTTAGATAAATATTCAATAAATATGGACAAGAAACCAATTTCGAAAGAAAATTCAACTTTTGAACTAGTAGCCCAATCTTGGAACTGTTTGAAATTATGAATTCTACAGGCGACATTCTATAAG